CTCATTAGGATGATTGCATTAGTGAGCATTCCTGACTAACTTCCCCCATTTCTGAGAGGCCTGAAGGATCACATGCTGCTTTGTGCAAGGGGCCAGACCACCGTTGATCATCAACATCCAGTTCCCAGTTGGGTCTCATCTCCTGTTCTAATGTGATAACAGGAACCTTGGTCCCAGCCTTTACTTGATGTCTGAATTTCAGTCCCATAACACTCAATAAGAGGCACAGAAAACAAGTTAGCTTGCACCACCTCCTCATCAATGTTAAATTGTACTTGATAACAGACTTTACATTAAAACAAATAAACAATGTTTTCGAAAAGCTGGAATTTACATACATTTCGCGCTTTTTCCCTTCAATTGCAACATATGCCTCAACTGGTGTGGCTAAACTAATTATTCTTTTAGTGGCAAGGATAGGAAAACAATATGTATGAAATAAACTTTTGATTTCATAACTATATTGAATTTGTGACTCTGACCCACTGTACCTGAGCTTCCTTAAGGTGACTCCAATTATTTCCATTCTGCATTCTGAACGGTTAAAAATGCTCTTTTTTATCAAGCAATTCCTTGATTAAAATCCTTCTTAATTTTAAACATTATAAAAGATACCTGAAAGTTTTTTTTGGATCTGTTCTGGAAGAAGTCAACCTCAGCATCAATCCCTTGCTTATAGCACAATGCTACAATTAAATATATATTTTTAAAAATTAAATATTTTTTATTCTGCAATTCCCAGAGTTGCTTGTTTTTGACACACAGCTTTTACATTTTTAATTCAAGTGTAACATGACATTAATTTCTTTATTTTTCTGATTTTCTCATCACTATCTTTTTTTTCAGCTTTTTTCTAGAGGACGCAAATTAGCAAATTGGAGGAAAATCCTCCAAGGACTTTTTTTTTTTTTATCAGATTCAATTTAAAATCAGCATGTATGAACTCAGGAAACTAAAATGCTGTAACTGAATTAATAGATGCTACTTTAAAGTATTAAACTGAGTCTGTGCACACTCGTGGAAACATGATTTTTCACCTTAAAGTAGTCATAAACTGGTATTTTACACATAGAATCCAGAAATTATCTTTACATTTCTAGCTTTTTTTGGAATTTTTTTTTAAATAGATCTTATTCTCACCCCTTTTTTTCCTTTGTTGAGGGTACGCAGGTACGAGGATTTGACATATGGGTATATGTGTTCATTTGGATGTAGTGCTAACAGCATTAGAAGTTCTCTTACACAACACCTTAAACTGAATAAACACTTTCTGATTGCCTGCAGGTGAGTCTCTGATTCTTGGAATCAACCATTTTGATGTAAAAGAAATGGGCGTGATGAAAGCAAGGCGGACTAATGTTAGCAAATCAATGAGGAGGACCAACTTTGCACTCTGGATAGCACTTGTGGGCTATCCTGGTTTGAACAAAGAGCCCGCACGAGAAAAAAAAGAAACATCAACACTCTTAGAACTCCTTTAGAGATATTTTGCCCGTAACAGTTTGTGTCAATTTCATTTGTACAGGATATATAATATATGTTTATTTTCAAAACAAAAACAGTGTTATGGATGTTTAGAGTGTTAAGAGACTGTATAACCTGTAAGGATTTATTGCAGGAGCTAACCTATGTGTTTTGGTAGAAGTCGTACTTTTTCTTTCTGGGTTTTAAAAGTCTGGCTGTAGAGGCTTTTGTATCAGAAACTATGCATATGTCAAGTCCACCACTGGGCTCTGTGTTTTGATTGACAAGGTCTGACCCTTTGTTGCTAGGCTCTCCTATGCATGGGTAGTTGTAGGAGGCCACCAGTCACCGGTGGACCGCTGTGAGACAAAGGTCACAACTTGAGGAGAATACTCATCTGTGTGCATGAGCCCATATTGACAAGGCACATGTAAGAAAAAAGAAAATAACTTTGATGGAGGTTCTGGCACCTAAACATGGGGCCCTTTTTTTTTTTGCTCCAGGGTATTCTTAACCTTTTGAAAGTTTTGTTTGATGAATATAATGAAGCATTGTATTTTTACTATGTATCTACATACAGCCAGGCTCCAAGACAAGCTGTATTCTCTCTGCAAAAAAAAGACTTGCTTACCGATCAGTCATATGGGGGCGCCCTCTGCTCTGCTACAGCTTGTTGGAAAAATCAGAAAGCAGCTTCACTTCATTAATGTTTTAACAGAAAGACAATGAGAATGGAAAAGGTTCCCATGGGAAGAAAAATATGCTAAATATTTGGCAGCTGCTTTTGGACAGTGGTTTTATGAAGCTTTTTGTTAAATTGGACTAAGCATTCACAGCCCTGCTTCAGTTTTATGACAGCAAATAAGATAATCTGTGTTTTCATTTTTTATGTTTTTAAGGCAAAGTTGTGAGAAATGTAGCTAAATAAATTTTACAGTAGCAAAGCTTTTGCTAAAACACCCTCTCTAACATCCTGAGAATAAGGTCAGAGGATCATCCCTCCAGTCTGAGTTGTATCATTTAGTCATCCTGTCTGTGGTCCTAAAGCTCAGGGGACCGGCCTGCCTCAGAACAAAGGTCTGGGTTTGCTGGAAAAGTAATTGTTGTTGCAAAAGCAGTAGCTTTACTGTTTGTACTACTCTTTTACACCTCTGCAGACGGAGCCTTAAAATCTGTGTCAGGACTTTGTGGTTTTTATGTTTTCTCTGCATTGTCACTTTGGTTTTTGGGGCAATGATGGTTGCTTCTCTGTGTCGGGTTGTAGGTAGTCTCGGCCCATCCATTACTCCCTCAAATAGCAAGAGATGATGTTCACATCAGACCATCATCCAGTTGCTCTCTGCACCAGGTAGCTTTTGCAGCCATCCCAGGTTGTTTTAGCCTAAAACAGATGTAACAGCAGGGCTCGATGTTCACCATCGCCCGATCTCCCGGGGCAAGTAGTTTTTATTGTTGGGAGAGTACAAATTTCATTGCATTTGCCCGCCCGGCAAGTGCAATGATCGCAAAAAAATATATATATTTATCACTCAAACGACCCAGAAGCGTTGCCGGCGCCATTTTTGTTGTTCTGTACACATTCTTGCTTGATTTGAAAAAGGCGCGTGATTTAAAAAAGACGGGTGATTTTCCGCCAGATGGCGTTATTTTTGTCCACCTAGTGGTAATTTTGATGTAGTTACCAAAACGACAAACAAGCTAGAAAGCGCTATTGTACCTGTGTTTCGGTATCATTTTATTTGCATAAGTACTCTCAAAAATCACAGACATTCGAAGAAAATGACACAAAAGCGTTGTCTGACCATTTTTGTTGTTTTGTACACATTCTCGCGTGATTTGAAAAAGCCGCGTGATTTTCCCCCAGATGGCGGGATTTTTGTCCGGGAATTGGCGCGAATCAGACACATTTTTTTCCGACTTGGCAGGCTAAAAAACAAAAATCCTTAACGTCAACCCCTGAACATCTGCTTTATCCAGAAGTTGCAGCTCTGACTGCCTTACCCTCTTGTTTAGCAAACTTAAATGTGTTTTATATGACAAGGCTTAAAAGCTCTGTTTTAGTCTCATTCTTTAATGATACTTTCAGTAGAGACCCTATTTGTCCACTAGACAACCATTTGTTGCATGAATGTGTCCCATGTGCAAACACTGATCAACAGCTCAGGATATGCCCTGGATCAGGCGGTACATTGACATCACCTTTTCCGGTCAGGGGACTCCAAAGTACTTTACATTACATTCACTCATTCATGCACACATCACACACTGATGGTGGCAGGTTACAGTGTAGCCACATCTTCTGTGGGGCCCGCTGACCGAACAGACAGGAGCCGTTCTGTACAGGAGCCACCATCACCAGACATGTGGGTGGAGTGACTTGCCTAAGGACACAATGTCTGAGATACATGGAGTTGGGGCTTAAACCAATTGTAGAGTGAACTCCTGCATCCTGCGCCACTGTCGCACCACCATAGCAGATTGAACTGTTTTAAGATTGGGCTACTACTTTGTAGTATTTATTTTTTTTTACTGCATGCCACGTGCAGTAAGTGGGTGTGTTGCAGATGATCTAAAAAGATTGGTGCGCAAATGTTAAGACGTGCGAACCATTAAAATTAGCAAGTGTTTTAGTGACAGTTCAAGAAGGCATGGAGATGGAGTTAATGAAAATTATTGAAAATTGTGAAATTAAATATTGTTTAAAGTTCAACTCATAGTCTGTCTTAAAGTGCTAAGAACAAAGGTAAAATAGTCATTGCTGTCATTGCAACAATGGCCACCGATATTTTTGTGTGCTAGTTTGCACCTGACTTTTAGAAGTACTGAGGAGACGCAAAAACTGTGGCCACAGTCGAGTTTCCAACTTAGAAAATCCCTTTGCACATTTTAAATGTTTACATTTGAATATCATCCACCCCTGATGTGGATATTAATGAACGCAAAAAATGAAAATAAAAAAATGTTTGCATGCTCTGCTTGCTGAATTGTCAACACAAATAATTTTGCATTTTCATTTATCTGCTCTGCATTTTCAAGCACCTTTGCATCTGTTGGATCACCTGCAAACCTTCTGAACATTACCCCCATACATTATTGTGGCTTTTACGTACAAATAAAACGTTAATAATGATGTGAATACTTTTCAGACACATAATAGGTCAGTGCTGATCACACTACAGTGTTTTTCCTAGTTTTCCTCAAGTAAAGAGAATAAACAGAAGACTCCAGCATTTAACAGGCATTTTTCTGCAATCTGTTGTGGCTGGAGGCAAGAGCTGTATTGCAAAATAGTGTTCTAAGAGAGAAAATATGAGAAAAATGACAGGGTCATATCTATTTTGTGTAAATAGATTGGTAATGATAGCTAGACAGCAAAATAGGAGGCAAGAGGCCGCTCCTGCAATTTGCCTCGAGCTTATGTTTAAGCACATGGGAGGTCATTGTGGTCTGTCTCGCTGTCAGTCACTCGCACCCTGATTTCCTTTGTTGACTGTGTGTTCAACAACCTGTGACCATTTTTCCTCTTTGTATAACAGTGTGGGAACTTTGCTGTATTGGTGGATCTCCATGTTTTGCCCTTGGGGAGCCCAGAGTCCACCAGCTGGTTTACTACAGACAGATTTGAGGTATTGTATTAAATAGGTGTATTTCCAAAAGAAGCTTACTGTAATTTCCTCCTTTTGATACCTGTGCAGTTTCTATACTTACCTGTCATCTATGCTTTGTTTGGTTTTTCTCCTGCCAGCATTATATTTAAATGTAAAGAGTTTAAATATATTGACATAGCAAACATCTGCTGTCTGCAGGAGGTTTCATCTCTAGTTCGAGATCCTGTCGACCAGAGGGTGAAGCAGTATGCAGAGTTTCTGCCAAACAGAAGAGGGCCTAAGCAGAAGAAGGAATTGCCACCTGCCTCAGCGTTTTTTCTGAAAGGTAGCACAGAGAGAACTTTACCGTACTGCTACCAATTTGGTTCAGTTTTGTCTGATTTTAATGTTTTCCCTTGAGAACTAAGATGCATGATTGAAGGATAGCAAGAGTGAGCATCAAACATATTATTCCCTTCAACTGGATGTTTTTCTAGATTTTTTTTTTTGTGATCCCAAAAGATGCTGCAAAGTACATTCTGTTGAACAGTGCATTTATTTATTGAATTAAATGACCATTTATTAAAAACAATCGAAGAAAAAATCTTCTAAATTTGGCTGCAAGCAGCCCGCTCCTCCAAATACTATTTCTTCACCTTAAAGGTTAATTTTTACTGTTGTTTTTTTATGAGCATCATTAGTTGGAGCTTCAGGTTTGCACATTCCTGGTATTTGTCTTCCTTCATTTTTGTTCTAGGTGTGTCTGCCATCAACTGTAGGCTTATTGACTCACTTTCGCTGTTGACTGAAACCATTACCCCATCAGAGTATATCACAGAAGTGATTGTGGTGAGCAGGATGGGAATGGAATTACAAAACAGTCCAAAAATATTTTTTTTTTTCTTCTATGCTCACTTTTTTGAGGTGTGTGGGTGTAAAGACAACACTACCAGTTGAGACACGGCAGAGTCCTACACCCAGGGCGTGACCCATGAAGGCGAGCACTGATAGGAGATTTTTTTTATATTGTGTTGCGCTGTTTGACTTGGCACAGCCCACCTGTGTTTGTTCATACAAGATGTAAATCTGTTATAGCAGCAAACTTCGGTTTCTCCCCTCTTGATATGACATTTGTGGCCTCTTTTTGTCTGTGCTTTTGCTTAAAGGAATAGTACACCCAAAACATGATTAGCCTTCATTTTCTACTCACCCCCATGCTGAACAACACTCTGGAGT